GGTAAACTTCTATGGTAGAATTCTATGAGATTCAGTGGTTTCTTTGAACTCCTTGTCTGGATGCTGAGGGTTTACCCTTTCTTCTGTTTTTGTGGGCTCTCTTGTACTTGGGTTATTCCCTTTCAGTGGTTCCTTTGTTGGTGGGTTCTCTCCTCCAGCGGGTATACTGATGTTCACAACTCCCACCTAATCTTGTATGTGATCAGTGGCAGGGGGAAGACAAAATGGATTAAGACAGCAGGACAGTATTCTATGGGATTTACAGTACCAACAAGTACAGAAGAGGTAGAAGATCCTTTGGATAAGTATAGTGTTCACCATGATATTTCACCCAGTGAGCCACTTTTTATAAAAGGTGAAAAAGAGACAAGACTCTTATTAGAGGGGAAAGGATTGTGAGCTCAATCCAGAAAACAGAGCACTTGTGGAAGGTTAGGTAATGAGATATAGTGAGAGTAAAGAATAGAAAGTAGGTGTAGTATGCAAGAGAATAGAGTTAACCACAACAGTAACAAAGCTCAGGAAGACAGTAAAATGGGTTAAGATCAGGGAGGGGTGCTATGTAGTGTTACTATTATATGGAACAACAATTATTTGTAATAGTACTGAAACAACAATATATGACAAGAAATAAATGATTTGTACAAAGAGTAGAAAGTACACATCAAGAGTAGTGTGTCATTGGAATATGAGTGAAGTGAAAGAAGGGAAATAAAAATACAATATGAAAGAGAGAATAAGGAAAACCAGTCAAAGAATGCAATTAAACAAACAAGGAAAATGAAGAAAATAAACAGAAGAGAAATAAAAAATAAACTAATAAAATAAGTAAAAAAACACAAAGAAATAATAATAATACAAATAAACAATAAAATGCAAGTTCTATAGGATAGCAAAGTGAAATTTGTCTCAGTTTCTCAGTATTTTGGGGTTAGCCTTGTGTCCCTCTTTGGGTCTGTCTCTGGATCTTTCATAGTTCCAGGTCTTATTGTCTCACTTTGGGGAAGAAATAAAAAAAACAAAAAGAAAAAAAAAAGAGAGGATAAAAAAAGCCTCCTGCCGACTTTAAAACTGCAGAGCCAGTTCTGCTGGTCTTCCTGGATGCCATAGGAAGAGGGGAGCTGGGCTTTGCTTTTCTACCTTCCTATGGTTTTGCAAGCACGTGGGCCAGGTCTAGGCCGCAATATTCACAATTGCCCAGTTGCCAGCCCAGGTCCTCTGTGAACTGCGGGGCCCACACTGTCCATCTGCACCAGGCTGGCACCTTTAATCCACCAGTTGTGCCATGGTTGGTGCAATGTGCCTCCTCCTTTCTTTTTGTGAGCCCACCATGGCCAGAGCCCACCACAAGTCAGTCGCTGGCATGAGCAGCACAAATCAGCTGCTGAGCAACTGGCACCAGTCAGCCTACTGCCAAGAAGCACAAAACAGCTGTTAGGCTAGTTGCTCAAGTCCAGCACAGGCTAGTGGCCCAAATCAGCCTCTTGGAGCAGTGTGAATCAGCTGCCAGGCAAGTGGCGTGAATTAGCTGCTGGGTGAGCAGCACCTGCCAACCGCTGCTCACTGCTGGAGAGTTCCTTAAACAATGGCTAAGCCTTTTTTTTTTCTAAGTAAAATCCTCTTGTTTAAGCCCATTGTCCTTGATAGGTGCCCGGCTCTTCATACAGCCCAACTTCCTCCACATGAAACATTTTCAAAGACCACATGATAGGACACAAAAGCTGCTCACTGCTGGAGAGTTCCTTAAACAATGGCTAAGCCTTTTTTTTTTCTAAGTAAAATCCTCTTGTTTAAGCCCATTGTCCTTGATAGGTGCCCGGCTCTTCATACAGCCCAACTTCCTCCACATGAAACATTTTCAAAGACCACATGATAGGACACAAAACAAGCCTCAAAAAATTCAAGAAAATTGAGATCATAACAAGCATTTTCATGGACCACAACTGCTTTAGATTAGAAACCAATCTCAAGAAAAAAACCTCAAAACCACTCAAATTCATGGAGACTGAATGGCATGTTTTTTAAAAAATGAATGGATAAATAATAGATCAAGGAAGAAATCAAAATGTTTCTGGAAACAAATGAAAATGAACACACAACAGCTCAAAACCCATGGAACACAGTGAAGGTAGTCTTGAGAGGAAAGTTCATAACAATAAAAGCCTATCTAAAAAAGATAGAAACATTTCAAATTAACAACCTAACCCTACATCTACAAGAACTGGACAAACAACAGCAAACAAAGTCCAAAGCAAGTAGAAGGAAGGAAATAAGATCAGAGCAGAACTGAATAACATAGAGACTACAAGAACAATTAACATATCAATAAATCCAGGAGCTGTTTCTTTAAAAAGATAAACAAAATCAACAAGCCTTTAACCAGAACATCAAGAAAAAAAGGGAGAAGACCCAAATAAATTAAATCAGAATGGAAAGAGAAGAAATTACAACTGATACCACAGAAATACAAAGAATGTTAATAAATTACTATGAACAACTATATGCCAAGAAATTTGAAAACCAGGACAAAAATGGACAAATTTCTAGATAAATATAATCTTCCAAAACTGAATCAACAAAAAGCAGAAAGCCTGAACAGACTTGTAAGAGCTGGTGACATTGAGGCAGTAATCAAAAAACTCCTGGCACACAAAAGTGCCCTAGATTGGACAGTTTCACAGAAGAATATTACAAAACATTTAAGGCACAGCTAACCCCTATCCTTCTTAGTCTATTCCCAGAAACCAAATAAGAGGTAAGAATACCAAACTCTTATTATGAAACCAGCATCATCCTAATCCCAAAACCAGATAAAGACACAACAATGAAAGAAAACTACAGGCTAAAGCTACAGGCCACAGCAATTTTGAGAAGGAAGAAAAAAATAGGAGGGATCACAATACCTGATATAAAAGTATATTAGAAGGCTACTATAATCAGAACAATCTGGTACTGGTATAAGAACAGACACATAGATCAATGGAACAGAATAGAGACCCCAGAAATAAACCCATGACTCCATGATCAATTAATATTCAACAAAGGGGGCAGAAGCATAAAACAGAGTAAAAGTAACCTCTTCAACAAATGATGTTAGGAGATCAGGACAGCTACATGGAAAGAACAAAATTCAACCACCAACTTACAACATACACAAAAATAACTCAAATGGATAAAGGACTTAAATATAAGTTGCAACACCATGAAAGTCCTAGAGGAGAAGATAGACAGGAAACTCTTAGATATTCCACACAGCAATATTTTCATCAATATGTGTTCTAGACCAAGGGACATAAAACAAAAAATAAACAAATGGGACTTCATGAAAATAAAAAGCTTATGCACGTCTAAAGAAAACATCCACAAAATGAAAAGGAAACCAACTGTATGGTAAAATATATTTGCCAATGATACCTCAAACAAGAGTTTGACCCCAAAATATATAAAGAACTCACACAACTCCACCCCTGGAAGACAAACAACTCAATTAAAAAATGGGCAAAGGATCTGAACAGACACTTCTCCAAGGACGACATACAGAGGGCCCAGAGACATATGAAAAGGTGGTCAGCATCACTATCCGTTAGAGAAATGAAAATGAGAACCACAATGAGATACCACTTCATACCAATCAGAATGGCCATTATAAACAAATCAACAAACAATAAGTGCTGGTGAGGTTGTGGAGAAAAGAGAACCCTAATACACTGTTGATGGGAACGCAGATTAGGGAAGCCACTGTGGAAAACAGTATGGAATTTCCTCAAAACCTAAAAATGTAACTACCTCTTGACTTGGCAATTCCACTGCTTGGATATACCCTAAGAATCCTGAAACACCAATTTAAAAGAACCTATATATCACAATGTTCATAGCAGCACTATTTACAATAACCACGTGTTGGAAGCAACCTAAGCGCCCATTAGTAAATGAGTGGATCAAAAAACCATGGTACATTTACATAATGGAATACTACACAGAAGAAAAAAAGAAGGAGCGCCTACCCTTTGCAACAGCATGGATGGAACTGCAGAGTATTAGGCTAAGTGAAGCAGGTGCTAAAGACAAATACCATATGACCTCACTTATAATGAAACCTAATCAATAAAACAAGCATGGAAAATATAACCAGAGACACTAAAATAAAGAACAAAGTGACAGTAACCAGAGTGGGTGGGGAAGAGTATAATGGGGGAAAGAAGTAGAAGGGGCAAATCAAGGAACATTTATAAAGGACCCATGGGCCAGGACAATGGGGTATGGATTGAGTGTGGGAGTGATGGGGTTTGAGGGTCAGGGGAGAGCAATGGTGGAAAAGTGGGACAACTGTAACTGAACAACCAGAAAAATTTTTAAAAAAAATTAAACCAATGAGCTATAAGATCTACCAATTCTACTTCCGGTTACATATCCAAAAGAACTAAAAACAATGACTCAAATGATATTTGTACACCCGCAGTCATAGCAGCATTATTCATAGAAGCCAAAAAGTAGAAGCCACCCAAGTGTGCACTGAAAAATGAATGGATAAGCTGAATGTGGTATATACATACAATGGAATATTATTCAGCCTTAAAAAGAAGGAAATACATACTACAACATGGGTGAACCTTAAGGACATTATGTTAAGTTAAATAAGCCAGTCACAAAAAGGACAAATACCATGTCATTCCACTTATATGAGATACCTATGAGTAATCAGATTCAGAGACAGAAAGTAGAATGGTCGTTGCCAGAGACAAAGTGGGATAACAGTTATTGTTAATGATTACAGAATTTCACTTATAAAAGATAGAAAGAGTTCTAGAGATGGATGGTGATACTAGTTGCACAACACAATATAAATGTAGTTAATGCCACTGAACTATATGCTTAAAATGGTTAAGACGGTAAATTTATGTTACATGTATTTTACCACAATTAAAAAACATACATATCCCTAAAAACATTCAAAGGTGTCAGCTACCTGAGTCAACTGGTCTTTACCTGTACAGACTCACCTAGATAGCCCTGACTTGGAAAAATTCTCTCTGTTGTCCACAATTCTTCTCCTTCTTCCAACTTGCGGATCATATCAGGCTTAGTCATGTGAAACCCTAATGATAAAAAATAAGACTTATTTTTGGGCTGTCTATTCTGTTCCATTGATCTATGTCTGTTTTTATGTCAGTACCATGCTGCTCTGATTACTTAGCTTTGTAATGTAGTTTGATACCAGGTGGCATGATTCCTACCTTATGATCCAGCAATTCCACTTCTGGAAATTTATTGAAAGGAATCCAAAACACTAATTTGAAAGAATATATGCACCCCTATATTCATTAGAGAGTTATTTACAATAGCCAAAGCTTGGAAGCAGCCCAAGAGTCCATCAGATGGTAGATGAGAAGATAAAAAGTTGTGGTACATTTACACAATGGAATGAGTAAGAAGGAAATCTTACCTTTTATGACAGCATGGAAAGACCTAGAGAGTGTTATGCTAAGTGAAATAAGACAGCAAGAAAAAGACAAGTGTCATATGATTTCATTTATATGTAGAATCTAATGAACAAAAGTAACAAAGTAGAAACAGACTCATAGATACAGAGAACAGGCGGTGACCACTGTTAGAGGGGAAAGGGGTTGGGGAGCTGAGTGAAAAAGGTGAAGGAATTAAGCAAAGAAAAACTCACAGATACAGACAATAATATGGTGACTACAAGAGGGAAAGGGAGGTAGGGAGCAGTAGACAAAAGTAAAGGGGAGATAAATGGTGATGGAAAGAGGCTTAACTTGGGGTGGTGAACAAACAATACAATATACAGATGATATATTATAGAATTGTATACCTGAAACCTATATAATTTTATTAACCAATGTCACCCCATTAAATTCAATAAAAAATTTTTAATGAGACTTAATCTAACCTCCTTGGGCTTAAAAACCATTGAAGGAAGAGGAAGATAGCTTCAAGGTAGCAGACCTGTATACATTCATATATATACCTTCATATACCATGCAAGTTAATACCTTGCATTAGGCAAGTGAGAACGCAGCCATATCTTTCTGCTAACAAAAAGAGATTCATCACCTCTAGTCCCTGAAATTCAAATCCATTAAGTTTCAGAAACTCTTGAAAGGAGATGTTGACACTAAAAGATTCAAGGGGTTTTTCTTACCCACAGAGACAAGATGGCAATAATTTTCCAACATGACATCCCTGTATAGGGCCTTCTGATCCGTGTCCAGTTGCTGCCACTCCTCCTGGGTGAAGTCCACAGTCACATCCTTGAATGACACTGATCCCTGTAAGAACATACTCCAGTTAATCGTAAAGTGATTGAAACTAATGAAAACTAGATATTGGAGACCTAGTTATGACCATGATCAGTGGTCAAACTAGTTTTCTTATTTTGTTTTACATTGCAGACATTCTCTTGAAAATACATTCATCTGTATATACTTACCTCATGCTAAAAATACATAAGAACATACTATTTGCCTTGAATGTGACCAGTTGCCTGGTGGACCAAAATGAATATAACTCTGACCACAATAACAAGAAGTTACAATCTAAGAGAGAGGTATTGCATATAAAGACATATACTCAATAGATATCACATATGCAAGAACAGAAATATGCACAAAGAAAAGTGCTACAAAGTGAAGAAAAATTTCATTTTGTATTCCAAGTCTTCATTGAGTACATAAAAATTTTGAATTCACAATGAACTTGTTTTGTAGGAATACAGGCATCAGCTTTTAAAATTCATGGGGAGAGAAAAACCAGGTAGTAAATTCAGGAAGTAGCAAAACACACAGTTTGTTAAGAAAGAGTCTTTGAGCCCTGACCAGTGTGGCTCAGTTGGTTGGGCATCATTCTGCAAAGCAAAGGGTCATCAATTCGATTCCTGGTCAGGGCACATGTCTGGGTTGCAGGTTTGGTTCCCAGTCTGAATGCATGCAAGAAGCAATGGATAGATGTTTCTCTCACACATCAATGTATCTCTCCCTCCATTACTCCCTCCTTTCCCTCTCTCTAAAAATAAATAAATACAATCTGAAAGGAAGAGTATTTGAGCCCTAAGAAGAAAAAGGTATATGGAAGTAGGCAGTGGATATATTTATGGAACAGTATGGATTTTTTTCTATACAGAAATGGTCTTAAAAATGTACTGAACACACTACAGAGAAATTAGTATTTATTTATAAATTATCCGTAGGCAGGACTTCCTGCCAAGATGGAGGCTTAGGTAGATACACTGTGCCTCCTTGTACAACCAAAAGAAGGACAACAACAAATTTAAAAACAAAAAACAACCAGAACTGACAGAAAATCAAACTGTATGGAAGTCCAACAAGCAAGGAGTTACAGAAGACATATTCAAGCCCTGGCTGACGTAGCTCAGTGGATTGAGCATGGGCTGCAAACCAAAGCATCGCAGGTTCGATTCCCAGTCAGGGCACATGTGTGGGTTGCAGGCCACAGCCCCCAGCAACCGCACATTAATGTTTCTCTTTCTCTCTCTTTCTCCCTCCCTTCCCTCTCTAAAAATAAATAAATAATATCTTTAAAAATTAAAAAATTAAAAAATATTATGTCAAAAAAAAAAAGAAGGCATATTCATCCAAACCAGTAGGAGGGGCAGAGACAGGCAGCCAGGTGGTGAGGACTCGAGGCAAGGCAGTGGCTGGAGGACCAGGGCCAGCAAGGTGCTGGCTGGCAGACCCAGTAAGGCTGCGGATTGTGGAGTGGGGTGCACAAGGCTGCAGCTGGCCAGCAAGGCAACAGCGGGCAGACCTGGCAAGGCAGCAGCTGGCAGACTGGGTGGTCCCACATACGTGCGCAGATAAACCAGGAGAAATGACTGGGTAGGGAGACAGACTCCACAACCCAGGGCCCCAGTGTGGGGAAATAAAGCCTCAAACCACTCATTAAAAACTCCTGTGGGGGTTAAGGCAGCAGCAGGAGAAACTCCCAGCCTCATGGGAGAGTTTGTTGGAAAGACCCACAGGGTCCTAGAACATACACAAACCCACCCACCTGGAAATCAGCACCAGAAGTGCCCAATTTGCTTGTGGGAAGTGGGGGAAGTGACTGAAATTGGCAGAGAGTAGAGCAAGCACCTTGTTCCCTCTCGGACCCCTTCCCCACATACAGTATCACAACACAGCCACATGGGTTACCCACCCCAGGTGCATACCTAAGGCTCCACCCCTCATTATGTAACAGGCATTTCAAGACAAAAAAAATGGCCTAAATGAAAGAACAGATCAAAGCTCCAAAAAAATAAATAAATAAAACGAAGTGATGAAGACATAACCAACCTATCAGATGCATAGTTCAAAACACTGGTAATCAGGATACTCACAAAATTGGTTGAATATGGTCACAAGTTAGATGAAAAAATGAAGGCCATGCTAAGTGACATAAAGGAAAATGTACAGGGAACCAATAGCGATGGGAAGGAAACTGGGATTCACATCAACAGTGTGGACCAGAAGGAAGAAAGAAACATCCAATCAGAAAAGAATGAAGAAACAAGAATTCAAAAAAAAAAATGAGGAGAGGCTTAGGAACATCCAGGACATCTTTAAACGTTCCAACGCCTGAATTATAGGGATACCAGAAGGAGAAGAGGAAGAGCAACAAGTGGAAAACTTATTTGAACAAATAATGAAGGAGAACTTCCCCATTCTGACAAAGGAAATAGACTTCCAGGAAGTCTAGGAAGTTCAGAGCGTCCCAAAGAAGTTGGACCCAAAGAGGAACACACCAAGGCACATCAGAATTACATTACCCAAGATAAAAGTGAAGGAGAGAATCCTAGAAGCAGCAAGAGAAAAGGAGACAGTTACCTGCAAAGGAGTTCCCATCACACTGTCAGCTGATTTCTCAAAAGAGACCTTACAGGCAAGAAGGGGCTGGAAAGAAGTACAGTCATCCCTCGCTACATCGCAGTTCACTTATTGCGGCTTCACAATACTGCGGGTTAACAGTGAGGCTGCAATAAGTGAAACACAATATAGCAAGGGACGACTGTATACTTCACTGGTGAGTACCCATATAGAATTGTATATGCTGTTAAAATTACATAGGTTTAAAAGCATAGAAAGTGTTTAAGAGCATATGAAGTGTTTATAAGAGTGTGGGAAAGGTTTATAGGAGTGTGGGAAGGGTTTATAAAGCTTTCAAAAATATATAAATAATAAAATAAATACAATGCCGCTACTTCATGGATTTTCACCTATTTTGGGGGTCTCTGGAATGTAACTCCTGCAATAGGTGAGAGATCACTGTATTCCAAGTCATGAAAGGCAAGGACCTACATGCAAGATTACTCTATCCACCAAAGCTATCATTTAGAATGGAAGGACAGATAAAGTGATTTTCAGATAAGATCAAGTTAAAGGAGTTCATCATCACCAAGTCCTTATTATATGAAATGTTAAAGGGACTTATCTAAGAAAAAGAAGATAAAAAACATGTACAGTAAAATGACAGCAAATTCACAATTTTAACAACCACACCTAAAACAAAAACAAAAACAAAAGCAAACTAAGTAAACAACTAGAACAGGAAGAGAACCACAGAAATGGAGATCACCTGGAAGGTTATCAACAGGGGAGTGGGAGGGGAGAGAGGAGGAAAAGATATAGAGAATAAGTAGCATAGATGGTAGGTAGAAAATGGAAAGTGGGAGGGTAAGAATAGTATAGGAAATGTAGAAGCCAAATAACTTATATGTATGACCCATGGACATCAACTAAAGGGGCGAATGTGGGTGGGAGGGGGTATGCAGGGTGGAGGGGAGTGAACGGGGGAAAATGAGACAACTGTAATAGCATAATCAATAAAATATATTTTAAAAATAAATCATCAGTAGGCATTAATGGCAATCCACATTGTTAATGACTACTGCTCCTGAATGTAAACTGTAATATTTTCCTCCCATTCAGTATACTGTCTTGTACATTCCACTGTAATACAAACTCCACTTTAGGTCTGCTGCTTTATGGAGTAAAAAGAAAATGAAAAAATATTAAGTCAACACATATGTGATAAATTTTATACTTTAGAGGCAATAGTCTTTTTTAAAGATTTTACTTATGTTTTTAAAGATTTTAATATTTATTTTTAGAGAGAGGGGAAGGGAGGGAGAAAGAGATGGAGAGAAACATGGGTATAAGAGAGAAACAGCAATCAACTGCCTCTCTCATATGCCCCAACCAAGGACTGACCCACAACTCAGGCATATGTGATGACTAGAAATCAAATCAGTGACCTATTATTTTGTGGGATGACGCCCAACCAAATGAGCCACACTAATTAGGGGTAGAGGCAATACTCTGACTAGAGAAAGCTTGAGATACGTTAGGTGAGAAAAACAATTAAGCAATCACAGTTAGAGATGTTTCATAGATTTGGTGTTATTAGTGGTCTAGACAGGGACCACTGGTTGCTATAATGAGTTGCACAAGAATTGGTCATAAATTGGTTGTAGAGTGGAAAAAGAGAGGCACGGCTCTTCAGTTATCTGCGTAAGCAATTGGGTAGGTGTTGGAACTAGGAGATGGAAATGGTAATCAGAAGAAAGTATAAACTGTTGTAAGTAAGGTAATGAGGTAAGCCTTGGAAATGTGTTTGAAGTGACCATGGAACATATAGGTGGTGATAGCTATTGGAGGTTGGATATGAGGTTCTAGGATGGAGAGAGGCATTGAGAGTCACTAGGATCACATCAATATAACCTTTAGAGTTAATCTGATTGTGAACAGAGAAAAACAGACTGTGAAGAGAAAATATCACTTAGAATCTTTGGAAAACCAATATTTTAAAGATTGATTAATGAAGATAAATTTTTGAAAGAAAAATGAAAATAAGGCAATGGTCCACCTTTTATTCAAGAGTAGAATATTTCAAGAATGGGCTAGCATATGCATTTCCTTCTCTTGTACCCATATATAAAAATTAGAAGAAACTAAAAATATAATTATAACAGCACTGCAATACTGAAAAGGTTTTCACTGGCAGGCCACAGTTTGTAGAAATTGCAGGAAGACATAGATAAAATAAGAGAATTAGAAAGGAGATATGCAAAATCTCAGTTTTCTGAGAAGCTTGCAAGTAAATCTCTATCCTGAAAGCCTCACAAAACAGGAGACCTTACCATAAACTAATAATGTGGTCCATTAACTTCAAAACCTAGGTCAGTAGGGATAATCAAGGTTTTTCCATTTCTGCACCTTTACTCCTTACAACTTAGATCCCAAATCAGTGTGTAGACTAGATTTATTCAAGTAATATATTCTCATTTAAATCAAGATAATACATTTCTGTTCCAGCAGTACTTATTTGAGAAGACAGGAAGGAAATGATGATGATATACAAACTTTATATGTGAACACTAGGAGTACCTTCTATAACTAGAAGGTACACTTAGGGAAGGCTTAAATTTTTCTGGTTGGAATAAGAGAAATTGGGAACAGGGCTGCAACTAGAGTGAAGCAGGCCAGTCAGTCACCTATGGTGCAAAATTTAGGGATGCACAGCTCTAAAAGTACTCCTTAAATTTTGCACCTGGGCCACTTACTTGCCTTACCCAACCTGGGTCCTACTGGAGACTGGTTTCATGGAAGCAAGTCTCAACATCCAGGAAAATTAAGGATGGGGAAATAAATGATCATATAACCTGAAAACATGTTATTTCAGAAAAAGAAGAAACATCATCTTACCTGAGACATATCTGTGAAATTTGCAAGAGATGAACCTTCTCTTCTGAACTCTTCTTTTGGAAAGGGAAGAGTCCTTGGAAGGCAGAGATAGAAAGATACAAGGAACGATGTGAAACCATATTTGACTTAGATCTCCCAGAATAACTCAGTTAAATCTACATCAACTTCACTGTTTCAGCATTTATCCACTCTGTATATCCCACACAAATCCAGGACATAGAATAATGGGAAAATTGGGCAAACCCTGCTCTCTCATCAACACCAGAAACCTAATTTCTTTGGATAGAATAAATTCTGGACTCTTGTGGCTGGAAAGAGAGAACATTGTTCTTTTCCCTCTACAGATCTACCTTCATCTCCTATATTGGATGGGTTTACTATATATTTCCAAATTATTCTTCATGTACTTTCTACCAATTTCCACTGCCACCAGAAGTGCATAAGAATACCTCCCTCCCTACACCTTGATGAATGCTGCTAGCTGACACAATTTTTTTTTGTCAGTTGTAAGCAAAACTTTACTCCCTGGAAACTGGGCCAGGAGACCCCTCAGGGAACTGAATGCTCCTAGGTCCTGGTCCCTACTGTGTTTGGACCCTAGTGAAGTGTACATAATCTACCCTCCCCAATGCCAGGGAGAGACAAACAAGGGGAATGCCATTTTTCTGTGATGTGGGGAGTGAAAGGGAGTGAATAGAAATAGAAGTCTGGTTCTCTCTCTTGAGGCTCCCAAGTGGAGCTGGGGTGAGGGTTCATTGTCCCAAAGCCAGATGTAGATACATGCCCCACCCTCAGGGATAAACTCCCCCCAGCTGTTGGATCATGTTGGGAAGGTGCCTTATAAGATCATGACAGGCAAAACTGGTAGCTCTAAGGACACCCAAAACCTACCAGGCACAAGAACTCTGCCTGAAAGCAAAGATTCAAGATCATTCCAAGGCCCTTGAGTTGCTAAAAATCCCAAATGACACTGATGTGCTGTGGCTGAAAAAGATGGGGAGGCAGTGGAAAGGGGATTTGCAGGGAGAGGACCTGCAAATCCCCAACAGAAAAAAACAAGCAGAGATGGGGAGCCCCAGAGGCTGGCATTTGGGTAGGCCTTGGCAAACTGGCGAGGTGTCCACAGCAAACAGTCTCAGGGTCTGGCACAGTGACACACCCTCAACGTCACAGGGACGCAGAGTCAAGAGAAGCTTTTACCCTGCCCCCATCCAAGTCACAGTCTTCCAGGGTATCCCATCTCAATGTCCTGGATGTATGACTTGGAGGTTTAGCATGACAGCCATGGGGGAAGAAGAGGATTCAAGCCAGGACCAAGAGATCAGGTGTTAATGCTGTCCTAACACAGGTGCCTGTGAGAAACATGGAGCTGGAGAAGTGGGCAAGGAGGGTGGGAGTTTTCAGAGGTAGACACTGAGGGTCTGCAGAATGTCCTAGAGGCAGAGTGGGCAGTTGCAGTGGTAGACTGGGTGGCGCATCAGAATTTCAGTGCAGGCCTGGCAGAGACATAGGTGCCAACAGAGCAAAAGCAGCACTGTCCTGCTCTGGTCCTGGCAGATAACGCACTTATTCCACTCCTGCTCCTTCAGCAACTTCCATGGGTCTTGACCACCTGTAGGCTCCTCCTTGTTGAGTCTCTCCCTGCCCTAGGCAGCTGTTACTCTGGCCATTCTGACTTCCTTCTTTTCTGCCTCTGATCTGGTCCCTGCTTCAGGAAGTGTCCTGTTGCCAGGACACTGGCTGAGGGCACCCTCCCAGGGACAACCTGGGAAGCCCCAGGTGCCCCTCCCCAGTTCAGCCAGCTTGCCAGATGCAGGCTGCAGCTCCAGAATTGGCACCAAGTATCCAAGCCCAGTGCTAGGTGAGACAGCCTCACAACATTCTCTTGAAGCTGGTGGTAGGATGGCTGGGCATGGAGCTGGCTGAGTGCCCAGGTAGCCAGCCTCATGGTGAGATCTGGGTACAACATGGTCACTGTTACTGCCAGCATGCAAGCCAGCAACTCAGGCCAGTGAGACTGACAAGCACAAAGTTGGCCAAGAAGTGGGCAGCTGAGGCCAGGGGTTCCAGTGCTAGTTGGCAGGAGGTCCAGAGAAGGATGGCCATGGCTACCGCACTGCTGGAAATGTAAGCTATGAAGGTAGCCATAATGTCCATCATCCTCCACAGTGGTCCCATCACTGCATCCCACAGGGCCAGCAATAGGGAGAAGAGATTCTGAGTGCCAATGAAGCAGATGTTAACCAGGCTGTTGATCATGTAGGCCACCAAGCTCATGGCAATGGCACAGATGTCACAGGCCTGACACAGCAAAGCATGGCCATTGGAAACCATACCGAGGATACCTCAGGGCAGTATATTCTGGCTCCCCAGAATATGCTTCATGAGAGGCTAGGTGTCCCAGAAGCTTTAGGTTCTCCAGGCCTGAGCAGCAGCTGTATAGCCGGGTACACAAGGCCTGAAAGCCCCCCAAAATGAACTGGACCAACACTTCAATCAAGGCCAGCAGTGAAAATAGTACTCCATGGCCCAAGTGCATAAGACTAGTCAGTACAGTATATGGTAGGTTGTAGATGCAGGCTAGAAGCCAGGCCAGGGAAGCCAGGAAGGAGGACACCAGCAAGAAGTTGAGGCTCAACACCAGGGTCAGCATGTCCAGCACCAGGCCCACACCATTCACAATCAGGTACACAGCCTCCATCATGGGGCTATAGAGGTTAGTCAAAAGGAAGTCTGGCTCCCAGTTGAGGGAGGTGGCAAGGTTGCCAAAAAATTGGGGGGCTGGGGGAATCAGGGATTAATCTGAAAGGTAAGTGATAAGTCTCCAACTAAGGAAGAGAATCAACAATCTGAGAAAGAAGTGGGTTAAAGGTGAGTGGGGTCTCAGTGGAGGGAATGAGGACCAGGTGCTGGTCCAGGAGTTCCAGTTTTGAAGGCTGGCTGTTTGAGAGGGAAGTAAAACATCTCTAAAGGGGAGGTGAGCCTGGAGTAGAGAAGAGTCCTCAGCTTTAGAGAGCTGGTGGTGGTTTACCAAAGCCAAGCAATCAGTCAGAAGGAGAGACCAGTGACCAGGAATGGTTGGGATAGGGCTGGGCCAGGAGGGGTGGCACAGGCTGGATACTGGCTCATGGTCCAGCTACGCAGGTTCCCCTGTCCCTGCCTGCCCCACCCCCACCCATCTCTGCCCGGCCCCCGTCCTCTGGGTTCCCGTTGCTTTGCTCCCAAAGAAGGAATGGGAAAGAGAGTCAACCTCAGCAAACCCCAGGTGCAGCCTCCACTCTGCTGCACTCCTAGCTGACATAATTTCTCAATTTCTGATATCAATATTATAATTTGAATTTACACATTCCTAATTATGAGGGAGAATAAGGTCCTTTTAAAAAGTTGAAAGGTGGCCTTGGCCAGACAGCTAAGTTGGTTAGAGCACCATCCTGGTACAACAAGGTTGTGGGTTCTATCCCCAGTCATAGCACATACAAGAATGAATCAATGAATAACAAATTGATGTCTCTCTCTCTCTCTAAAAATCAATAAATGAAACTTTAAAAAAATAAGTTTAAAGAAGCTTCTATTTCTTTTTCATGATGGCATCTTTTTTAATATGTCCCTTTTTCTCATGGGTTTTTATTTCCTAATGGTTGATAGTGTCATTTTAAAAATTTAGTAAATTAACCCTTTATCTACTCAGAATTGCAAATAATTTTTCTTAGCTATTCATATGACTATTAAAGCGTTCATGGACATGGACAACAGTGTGATGATTGCTGGGGGGTGTAAGGGGACTAAATGGTAATGAAAAAACTACAAAAATGATTAAATTAAAAAAGCAAAAATTTCTTAAAAAAATAGTATTTTTGTTTTGTGAAGACTTTTTTCCATGCTTGTTGTTTAGCAATACTACATAACATATAATCCATATTTCTCAATTGATGTGAAATGCCATCTTTATCACATATTACGTATCTATCTTCTTGAGAATATCTGGACTTCCTCTCTACTTCATCTCTTTATTGATTCATCTAACACTACTTAATATACACAGTTAATGATAGAAAATTAATCATTTATTATTAATTTCTGAATAACTGATTTAAATATTAACTAGTAAGCAACACTCTTTAGTAGTACAGGAAATAGAAAATTAGTAGAAATAGAGAAGAAATTGATCTTTCCACTCTGTAGGCTTCCAGGCAGAAAGGATATTCTCCTAAGTAAAGTCTGAAGTACTGACTGATACAGTGAATATTTTAATTTGCAAAATAACTGTTAATTTCTAAAATGAGATTGGCCTTGTGATTAAGTGTACCAAATATTCTTTATTATCTTAGAATGCCTTGCCATCAATTTCATCCAGAAGCAGGAAACCTCACTTATATATCAGTGTTGAAAACACTAATTATGGGTAAAAATAATTTGTTTTTTTCCTGCATGTTACCTATGGAACACTATTCATTTAACCTTGAAGCTATTAACCTTGCCATCAATTTCATCCAGAAGCAGGAAACCTCACTTACATATCAGTGTTGAAAGCGCTAATTATGGGTAAAAATAATTTGGTTTTTTCCTGCATGTTATCTATGGAACACTATTCATTTCAACACATTGGTTTTAGTTTATATGGTGTTTCCCTGCATAAATATTACCATCTGGGAATTACATAACTGTTACCTCTTCCTTTTGAATACTTATACCTCTGTTTTATTTTCTAAATTGTTATTGAGTTACAATTTTGGAGGGAGACTTAATAAACTACTCAGATCATTAAATCTTACATATCCAACTAGACAGTGGTCATGCAGTTTCTCCATCACAAAAAAATAAAAATAAAATAACAGATTACAAACACATGCATAGTTTATATTCAATCAAACTTACTTCAGAAAACCAGTATTCTATAACACCCACATATCATTCACAACTTCAGATAGCACGTTAATTACATAATGCCAGGTAAAGTCACAAAATCACATTACAAACCACTTTCACTTCGTCATTACCTACAGCCTCAAATACGACTCACACCTAATCTCAAAATAGACAAAGGCGGCAGTACTACTCCGTCCACTTTTCACACACAATCTTCCCTAACATCTCACTGAGTAGCACACACCCAAATGCTGTTATTTGGGACAGAAGACCGACACATGTGATACACACACCACACACCACACACACACACACACACCGCCCTCTTTGTGAGGTCGCTTTCGCTGTGACGGTGCTTCTTCAGAATCAAAACACAAAATTCCCCCTTCGGAGTTCGCTCCAGGTCGCACTCGATTGGCAACCTCAGGGTCGCGCCCACTGGCCATGCCTGAGGTCTCACTCACACAGATCCGAGCGTGTGGTTACCGCAGTCCTGGGTCCGGTTTCCTTCCCAGAAGAACCAGGTCCGGCTTGGACTCCTGGTTCCTCCTTGGCCTCCCCGCTGGGTCCCGCTTCCCTAGTCTGACTTTCGAGCCATGAGCTTCCAGTTCCCTCCCCCTCCAGAGTCCCTAAGATCCACACGCCTTTCCACCAGCTTAGCGTGAGTCCTTTGCGCCTGCGCACTACCGCCAAAGCTGGAGCTCCCAGCAGACCACTTGGTTCGGCTGCTACTTGGGAGCTGTAGAAATCCCAGCTTTGGTGGCTCGGGTGTACCACTCCTTTTAGGCCCTGGGGAAGCTAATGAACTTTGACCGATGGTTCGTTTTATGCTAGCTTTTCGGTCACTGTTGTCTGTGTGGTGAACTGAGGTGACTGCAGGATCGGGTTCAGAAAGGGTGCAGAATACTGGGAGTTTGAGTACGGAAGCAACAACTGGAAGCAAGATTCTTGGGCCTATATGAGTCACGTACTGAGGAAGGTGACTGTGGGTGCGTGTACTGATTGTGTGACTGCATCAGCATGGGATGTGATTATGAATGTATGTGTGTATGTAGAGTAAGGTGTGTGTGTTGGGGGGGCAGGTGTCTGGTGTCTAGTGTCTGTGTGGTGGGGAGGCCTTGACTGGCCCTGATTAGGCTGTGACTGAAGTATGTTGTGCTGTGGCCAAGTGATCCTGTGAAAGCGCTATTGTGACTGGAGAATGATTAGGATTGCCCTGGTCTAGCTTTTATTATTTTTAAAATCTTGGAATGTTTAGGGTAGAGCTGCATTTTTGCAGTTCTGGGGCTGAGGAGTCTGTAGACAAGATCCCCATGTAACTCAGTCTGTGCCTGTCAAAGACTCTTAGGCCCTTGTTAACCACAGAGGCCCCAGTTCCCAAGAATGACCTCTGTTGCCTTCTTCAGTGCACCCTTTATCCACTGTCCAGGCTAGTGCTTAATACATAGTAGGCATGCAGTACATTAAGTATTGCCTATTCTGGAGTCAATTGTAGGTGCCATGATTTTGTGAAATTATTTGCACTGGTTTTTTTTTTTCCTGTTTGTTTTGTTTTTATGCTTCTGCCATTTCACCTGTATAGCCACACTGCACAGAAATGCTAGCTGCACAAAAATGGCTGTGAAAGGGAAGTCAAATATGAGTCCTAGAATGACAGTTCTAAATAAAAAGCACAGCCCTGTGTTTATTATGAAAATTTTAGAGCTGGAATTTCCTCCAAGGCAGAGAAAATGTGATACTGAGGGACAGGACCAAGAACAGATTCCTTCCTCTTAAGGTTCCCCTTCAAAGTTATGTGGGGACAAGCTGTATATTGTAGATCCACAACACTTTCATAGCTTTGTTGACAGAAAACTGTTGAGAACATAGAAACAGATTCTTCAGTACACCTGACTTCAGTACACCTGACTCTTTATGACACAGGGAAAGGTCAACAGTATTCCAATCCTTCTCATACTTCCATTTTGGGATGTTTAATATGGATAATAGGGCTTGCTAGTGCTAACCTAAAAATAAAAGACCTGTCAAAGTGAGATGCAAAAAGCATTTACTTCAGGTAAGAATAGGTATTTGGGAATCAGTAATTCAAGCTGAAGGCCAAGTAATGTTCTGATTCTGAAACAGAGGCAATGAGTGAGTATTTATGAGAAAGGGGAGGGAAATGATTACATCATTTCTATTGGCACAGATAACATAATGATGTTAATGCTAAACAATATTTTAAATTTTCAGTCCAGTAGTAACTGCTTTATTGTTATCTTTGCAAACGGTTCTCTGGGACACAATGTTCCCTATGCCCAGTCCAGAGGTTATTTTGCCCTGTTTTAACATTCCAAGATTTGAGGTCTAAGACTTACAAGGCAGTTCCTTTGGTGTAGCAGCTCCAACTCCATTTTAACCCGGCTCTCTTTTATTATTGTTTGCACTAGTAATGAAGAATGTGTTCATATTTTTAGTTTGGCCTCTAAGAAAGGCCTATATATCATGATTCCCTTTTCCTTACAAGTTTTGCTATGCTACAAAAGATGAGCCAGTAGAGGAGAAAAACATTGGAGTTGCTCATCTCAAAGCCAAGCTAGAGGTCATTTTGAGCTTCTACTTTGTTTTATTAAATACACTTTTGATTGTTGATTTATTCATGATAGCAGTTCTGACAGGTGTGATGTTAGATATCATTGTGGTTTTAACAGTTAATGACACTTAACATCTTTTCATATGTCTATTGGCCATGTGTATGTCCTTTTTGAAGAAATGTCTCAAGGTCCTATAAAAGGTCCTCTGTCCATTTTTAATCTGGGTTGATTTTTTTGTTGTTGGTGTTCAGTTGTAAGAGTTCTTTATATTCCTTGGATATTAATCCATTACAAATATATCATTGGCAAATATCTTTTTGCATTCACTAGGTTGTCTTTTCATTGGTTTGTAAACCTTTTCAAGGTTTTCATTGCTGTGTAAAAACTTTTAAGTTTGATGTAGTCCCATTTCTTTCCTTCCTTTTTTTTTGTTTCTCTTGCCCAGGGAGACATATCCAATAAGAATATTATAAAATAATGTAAAACAAGAATATAAAACAAATATAAAATATTAAAGCCCTGGCTGGCGTAGCTCAGTGGATTGAGCGCGGGCTGGGAACCAAAGTGTCCCAGGTTCGATTCCCAGCCAGGGTACATTCCTGGGTTGCAGGCCATAACCCCCAGCAACCGCACATTGATGTTTCTCTCTCTCTCTCTCTATCTTGCTCCCTTCCCTCTCTAAAAATAAATAAATAAAATATATATATTAAAAAAATATTAGGAGAGATGTCAAATGGCTTATTGACTGTTTGCTTCTTGGAATTTTATGGTTTCAGGTTCAAGTCTTTAAGTGAGCTGAATAAGGTTACAGAATACAAGATCAACATACAAAGTCAACTGAATTTCTATATACTGACAACAAGCAAGTGGAAACCAAAATAAAAATACTATATCATTTACAAGGGCTCCAAAGAAAAAAATAAATACTTAGTTAAAAAACTGACAAAATACAGATTTTTTATGGTAAAAATTATAAAATGCTAATAACACAAATGAAAGAAAAATACCTGATGGAACATGCTGTGTCCATGGACTGGAAGACTCAACAGAGTTAAAGATATAAATTCTCTAACTTCATCTATAGGTTTAGCATAATTCCAATAAAATCTCAGCAAGCTTTTTATAGACACAGACAAGCTTATTCTAGACTTTATATTCAAGAAAAAGACCCCATGGGTAGTCAAAAAATTGAAAAATAATGAAGTAGAAAGCACTACTCCACTATTAAGGTTATTATATAATTGCAGTAAGTATGGTACTGGCAGGGACAGTCATAAAGATCAATGGACACAACAGAAAACTCAGAAATAGAGCCTGACAAATGTGTCCAACTAATTTCTGACAAGGGTGAAAAAGTGATTCAATGGAACAGGATAACTTTTGAAATAAATGGTGATGGAGCAACTGGACATGCATTGAGAAAAAAGGAACCCATCTAAAGTCTCACATCTTCTACAAAAATGAATTTAAAATAAATCACACTTAAATAAAAAATGTAAAACTACAAAAATTCTAGAAAAGAAACATAGAAGAAAATCTTTGGGACCTAGGAATAAGTTGAGGGTCCTTAGACTTGATACCAAAAACAAACAAAAAAGAACCCTCATAATTTATAAGATAAAAATGGATAAATTAGAGTTCACCATAATTAAAAATTTTGGCTTTGCAAATGGCCTTGTTAAATGGATGAAAAGACAAATTACAAACTTTGAAAAAATATTTAAGTCACATATCTAGAATACATAAGAAACTGGAAACTCAGCCTTGACTGGCATGGCTCAGTTGGTTGTGTGCAGTTTCACAAACCAGAAGATCACCAGTTCAATTCCCCATCAGGGCACATACATGCCTGGGTTGCAGGTTTGGTCCTTGGTCATGACATATACTACAGGCAATTGATTAAAGTTTCTCTCTCACATCAGCGTTTCTCTCCTTCCTCCCTATCTCCCTCTCTTCCCCTCACTCTAAAAATAAATAAATAAAATCTCTTTTTAATTTTTAATATATTTTATTAATTATGCTATTACAGTTGTCCCATTTCCCCGCTTCATTCCCCTCCACTCTGCACACCCTCTCCCACCCACATTCCCCGCTTTAGTTCATGTCCATGTGTCATAAGTTCTTTAGCTTCTACATTTCCCATACTATTCTTGCCCTCCCCCTGTCTATTTTCTACCTACCATCTATGCTACTTATTTTCCATACCTTTTCCCCCCTCTCTCCTCCTCCCACTCCCTTGTTGCTAACCCTCCAAGTGATCTCCATTTCTGTGGTTCTGTTCCTGTTCTAGTTGTTTGCTAAGTTTCTTTTTGTTTTTGTTTTAGGTGTAGTTGTTAATAATTGTGAGTTTGCTGTCATTTTACTATACATGCTTTTTTATCTTCTTTTTCTTAGATAAGTCCCTTTAACATTTCATAAAATAAGGGCTTGGTGATGAAGAACTCCTTTAACTTGACCTTATCTGAAAAGCACTTTATCTGCCCTTCCATGCTAAATGAAAGCTTTGCTGGATAGAACAATCTGGGATGTAGGTCCTTGCCTTTCATGACTTGGAATACTTCTTTCCAGCCCCTTCTTGCCTGTAAGGTCTCTTTTGAGAAATCAGCTGACAGTCTGATGGGAACTCCTTTATAGGTTACAGTCTCCTTGTTTCTTGCTGCTTCTAGGATTCTCTCTTTATCTTTAATCTTGGGTAACTTAATGATGATATGCCTTGGTGTGTTCCTTCTTGGGTCCAACTTCTTTGGACTCTGTGAGCTTCCTAGACTTCCTGGAAGTCTATTTCCTTTGCCAGATTGGGGAAGTTCTCCTTTATTATTTGTTCAAATAAATTTTCCACTGGTTGCTTTTCCTCTTCCCCTTCTAGTCCCCCTATAATTCGGATGTTGGAATGTTTAAAGATGTCCTGGAGGTTCCTAAGCCTCGCTTCATTTTTTTGAATTCTTATTTCCTCATTCTTTTCTGGTTGGTTGTTTTTTTGTTCCTTCTGGTCTACTCCATTGATATGAGACCCAGCTTTCATTCCATCACTACTGGTTCCCTGTGCATTTTTCTTCATTTCACTTATTGTA